ATCAATTTCAACCTAATCTAAAATTCTAAAAACAAACACAACAAGTGGACAGAGGTTGTAAGAGAAATCCAAAGTGATTTGCCAAACTTATGCAAGTTTGACTATTTGGCTGAAAATGTTATCTGCAAGTTATTGCTGCATATAACATCTCTTCCAATGTACTTACCTGGCAGATGCAACCTATTATAGTGAACTGTGTTTACATGTCATTGGCCGTTTAGAGAACATCATTGCAGTGTGTATGAAAATCCTCCTGAATTCCATTTAGACGGTTGTCTTAAGCTCCATCGGCACGTGAGTTAGGAACTGCAGGACTGCAACGTTAACTTTTAAAATGGCATATATCATTGTGGTGTTTAATATTAATTTGTCATATTTGATGATTTTGTAAAGTGTATTGTTACGACCATGCCACACCTCCCTTGGAGGGTTTATCCGGGTTAAATAAAGATTGTCAGTATTATTGTTAGTATTATTATTGTTAGTAGTATTATTTGATGTATTATTTGTAGTATTATTGTTAGTATTATTATTGTTAGCATCATTATTTGTAGTATTATTGTTAGTATTATTATTTGTAGTATTATTATTGTTAGTATTATTATTATTGTTAGTATTATTATTGTCAGTATTATTGTTAGTATTATTATTTGTAGTATTATTATTGTTAGTATTATTGTCAGTATTATTATTGTTAGTAACATTATTGTTGGTATTATTGTCAGTATTATGTCACTAAACCAAAGAGCTAACGTGCTAAATTTCCAGGAGTTGAGCTGAGGGGATGAAATCATCGATTTGGGAGGGGGTGACTATAATCAATGCAATTTAACGCTTCGTAAATTCTACTTATTTAATCCCAGGTGTCTCGTTAAAAAAATTATATATATACCCTTGCTTGCAATGGGCTCTAAGCTGCTGATAAAGAAAGGACATGCGTGTTGCAAGAGGGACGGAGCAGTCGTGGCACGGTGGTTGGCGCAGTACGCTGTGAACTCTGAAACCTGCATTTGACTGCCAGCTATAACTAACACCACTGGCAAGTGATTTGGCAGAGTCCTGGGCAGCCCGTTCACCAACCTGCGTTGGCAAGCGTGGTGAAGTATGGTTGAACAATCCCAAAAAAACGAGGAAAGGCGCATGGGAGGGCTTCATCCAACAGTGAACTGACAAAGGGGCCGCTGCACCTGTAAGCATGCATGTAGCACCGTAATCATCGTATGGAGTCTGCATTTCTCTGCTTGCATAGAAAAAAGAGGACATTGGACTGCAATGTATCTGCCCTTGTTTGGCCTGCATGGAACACAAAGAGGGCGATGGATTGGGTGGTTCTTCTCAAACTCCAAACAAACGAAGATTAAACGGATCGTGACTTCATAATAAATCAGTCATCCCTCCTTGGCTGGCTCTTGCCCACCCCCCCCCTCCCCTTATTTTGAGACACACTAAAAGAGCCGAAATAAATAAAGCATCGTCTGCAAGGCATGCGGTATCGCTTAGGCCGCAGTTGCCCTGGGATTAAATCTGAATGTAAATACAGCGTCAGGTATCTCGGCAACCCCCCACACGTGCCTCATGCTCGGCTTCCTCGCCCCGCACTTGCCATAATGCTTGAGCAGAATTTAATGACGACACGGCAGGATGGCTCTTGTATTCCCTTCAGATCTAATCTGTAACCTGAAGCCAACACAACGGAGTCGAGGGACGTTTTCGTGCATTGGAGAAGCCTACGGAGTGGCCTACGGAGTGGCGTCTCCAATGTGCGCACTTGCGTTGCCTTGGTGTCATATCCAGGGCACGCACATCACCTGTGACCCAATCACACACATAATGGGCCCAATTTCTTAATAGCTCACAAACGTACTTGAGGTTTGTGAACACATCTGTGTGGACGTGTTAATGGTATCCTTTGCATATGCGCGTGGTCGAATGCATACACGCACACGTGCAATAGGTAACTATTCACGTGCCAATTTAGAAGTTGAACCTTGTGGCCGGACCCCGGGGTCCCGAATAATTTATTTTTGGCGACTCCGTCCCACCGCGCACATAAACGCCGCGACCCACCAATCCTCTCCTCGTTCTTCACCAAGCACCCGTCGTTGCCAAAATTTCCGTGGTCACAAACAAAACTATAAAACTTTCATTATCGCATCGTGTAGAGCTCGTCGATAGGAATCGATTGCCGTGTCGTTCGCCTTCAACAGACATACAATGACGTCGCAATGCAGTTGATGCGAGAGCCGGGGGGCTTATGGGACCCCGGGGTCCAGCCATAAGGTTCATTGTTCATCGGGAAACATGAAAAGGATTGCTTGTGTTGCGATCGAAACGTCGTGATTTGTTTTATTTTATTTCTACCTACGTGACTTTACCGAAAGAACCAAAGAGTATGTTTTTAATTCTCACCAGGCCCCATAGTGTAGGCCTGACTATTTATCTTCTATGAAGAAGGGTCGTTTTCTCAAATGCCAACCAATATATTGCCTTTCCCTCTAGGGCAGCGTTACTGACCAAGGTTTTGAGTTTAACGTTTTTTTTCCCTTCTTTTTGTGCCCGTGCACCACTGCCGATGCAGCGTCGCCAACTAATTAGCTTAATGCTTGAGGAAGGATTCCCCACTCCGGCACCTAAAGCGATGATACCGAGGGAGCTCTGGAGGGCTCTCCCATCACGGGCGTCTGGTCGGCGCTCCCACGTGGAGCAGCAAGTGTGAGAGTGCCCACACTTTACCCTGCCGCGCGCACTCGACCTGCCGCTCGCCGGCGACTTGCGGTGCTCCCAATTATGCTGCTGGGTGGACAGAAGCCAAGCGGAGGCGGTGGGGGGGGGGGGATTTAATAGTTTCAACTTTCGTGCAGGGGGGGGGGGGGATTGAATTGAACCGGACACCTCTGGATTGCAAGATAAGTGCGTTAACCGTTACAACTGCAGCAGCATCCATGTAATTGTATAAAGTACAACAACAACAGAAACGTTTGATTGTTTCCCATCATCGACATCCCTTTCCTAATAAGCACAGCAAGCAAATCAATTTGACACTCCTCTTGGAACCACCCCTGGCGGCTCGAAGCAAAGTCACCGCGTGGCCAGGAGGCAGAGAGAGAGGGTTAAGCCACCACCAGCATCATCAACCGCGCGTGAGCACGCGCGCGTACCTGCGAGACGTATCGGGCTGCATTGCGGGGACATGCGGGGTAATTGAGTTTGGGGATGGAAGGCACGAGAGCGTGAATGCTCCTGATTGTAGCAGGAGGTCAAAGGAAGTGACAGATTGTAACTTCATAATGGAAGAGCGGAGGTTGGTGGCACGCACTTTGCCTCGCTGTCCTTCCCACGCACCTCCGATGAGAATGGGCGGCTACGTGCGGTGTGAAAGAGGTTCCGCGCACACACGCACAGGTCCTGTGTGTTTACAAAAGCGAGGGTGGACATGCAGTAGGGTGTAGTGAGTGCAACTGGTAGGAGTACAGTCTGCACTTGCAAGCCATGCAGACTTCTAAAGAGAGGTATGCATCTGACTTGTGTTTCTGAATCCTCGTTATCGTCGCTGAAAGCACACACTGACCCCCCCCCCTCAAATATGACGTCACAAAGCTCTGCCCCCCCCCCAAATCCATATTTCCATTTTGAAAATAAAACATGCTTCAAATCGCTTTAAATTATCGTCATTGTAGTGCGTATTTAATGTGGCCTTGCACTCTGACGTTGTAGGTGAAAACATGTATTAAAAAGGAGGCGTTAGAAAGCTGAAATTTTAGCATAAAATTCACTTGAAAATATTAATCGTCTAACTAAAACTGCAGATGTTCAGAATATTATGTTGAAATTCTCTTATAATTATCATATATTAAAAGTAATTATAACTATAAAAAATACTTGAAACTTTGCAGTAGAATGAAGCAAAATGGAGAGTACATATTTATTCCACATAATGAAAAGCCCTGGTAGAATCATTAAAATCTAAATGTTTAATAACTAAATGTATGCTTCTACATTCTCCGATGGAGAAGCAAAATGCTCCTTCATGGAATAAATAAAAGGTGACCTTAGTAAATTTAAATATTCAAATAGTTAATAATGAAAATTAATAATAAAAATAGTGTTGTTATAACAATATAAATAGAACGTGTTGTTCATATTTAAAGTTGCGCATTTTGATGTGACGTCACATTTCTCAACCCCCCCCCCCCCCTCGTCACACATCGTCACAAATGTCTGACCCCCCTAGGTGCGTGACGTCATTTATGGACGGCCCCTTAGCCATGGCCGGGAATGATGGCCAGATCATACAATTCAGAGCAAAGTGTGAATAAGTAACCAGTAAACATGCAACGTGGAAGCAACGTTGGGCGAACGTTGGCACAACGTTCCTAGTTTGCTGGGTAACGTAAAACCACTCCATCTGGTGGAGATGTTTTTTTGGATAAGCAGGATCCCACGCAAAACCACATCGCCTGGAATATCCGCGGGTGTAATCACAAAGCTGTAGAAGCTAAGCAGCTCGTTGAGCCTGCTAACCTAAACACGGGCGTTGTGGGATATCGTGCGGCTCTGTTGTCAGCCGGGGACAGTGTTTCTCACCTTCACCAACACACGCGAACTAGCGTGGTGAAGTATGGTCAAAGAACCCCCCCCCCACGACCTGTGCAGCGTGGGGAGGCCCTCATCCAGCAGTGGATCGACACGAATGCGGCATCTATGGATTTGACGTATGCCGTTAACGGCAAGCGTTGCCTCCGTGTACAATTTACGACCGAAACTCGTGAGCCTCTCGTAGTTAATGCGTTACTCGTAAAAGAAAAAGGGAAAAAAACCGATGACGCATGCGACATGTGCCTGCAATCCACCGTGCCAAGGGGCCTTTGAACCGGCACTAAACCGAGGGCATCTCGCGCACGCGGTGAATTAAAGCGGAGCGGAGCGATTTGCGGTCCCCGCCACCCCAAGCAGCGGCCGGAACCTCACGAAAAGTGCCGGCTAAGGACAACGGGGATCGGTGGCGGGGGGGGGGGGCGGGGAGTGGGGTGGGGGTATTTAAACTCTGCGTTCTCCGCTCAGTCCCCCCAAGTCTCAGCGATCGTGGGTTGCCAAGCGATACGAATTCTCGCGATGGGTCACCGCAGGGGCAGGCCTCTGTCCTCGGCAGTGGTGGTGGTGCTGGTGCTTTTCGGTGCACTTGGAGGGGGCTGGGCTGACACCCCGGTCAATTGTTCGTACGCAGACCTCCTGGGAACCTGGGTTCTCCAGGTGGGGAAGGGAGGACAGAACAGCAGCATCGACTGCTCCAGCATGGGTGAGACATCACTGACAGAAGGCGCTTATTGGCTCACAAACCACATCCCGCGGTGGCTTATCCAGAAACCATCAAATGGCTTGCTCTAGTTTGTTGTTGTTGTTGCCGGGAACAGAAATAGAGCAATTGACATTTACTCTGACATTCTTGCCCAAAATGTTGTCAGCTACAGAGTATGTTTCTGTAGTAGTTGTTTTTGTCGTTGCACATGTCAACGTGTCACCTTGACTTTGTTTTATCTATGTGCATACATTGGTATATATATCTACATGTCCCTGCGCAATATCCCCTCTGGGACATAGTTCACAAAAGAAGAATGGAAAAGAAAGATACCGCAGATGTTGATTACAAACGCCCAGTGAAATTAATGCGGTGAGAACTGCCAATGCGCGTTACGTTTCGCCCGCAGAACTAACGCACGATTTGCATTAGCCACGAGTGCTTATGCACCTAGATGCGTGCGACTCAGGTGACCTCGGTGACCTCACAGCTACAATTAATGCGACCACAAGTGCTTCCTGACAGCAGAATGAGGACATTGCTAGTTGGATACCGCGTGTATCTTACATCCTTAAGTGCGGCGCGTTATTGTTGTTCTGTGCGGATGCGTGCTCGCGTTACACGTGTTTAGTGCGGGGTGCAGTAATTTCGTGGCGCCCACTGACCCAGATTTAATCCTAGTTATGATGTACAGCAACAATGGCAAGTGGTCGCTGGAAATTGGCCTCGTGGGATACTCAGCGTTCCATGAGTAATCGGAACATCAGCACTTGGGAAACAAAGGTGGTCGGTCATAATTCTGGCTGCACTACCTTCCCGTGTGCTTTTGGTGACCTTAATAGGCGCTCACGAACGTAACGTGCATTCGTAGCTTATAAGGCCAAGCAGGAGGATTTGTATGCTGTGTGCCTTATGTGCGTTCACAATTATACAAAGCATATCAACCAAATGCCTATTTAAGCATATACAGAAAGTTGTGCATTGTTATTTTAAATCATACCAATGTACACTTCGTTTCACGGTGGTATATGTGACAATTGTGATATTATTTAGCGCAATTCGTGTTTGCTTTATGTGTTCAGTTTCTTGTCCTTCCCCCCCCCCGCACCTCCGATGAGCGTGGTCGGCTGTGTACGAAAGAAGTTCAACACACTTGCATGCATTTATTCGAACATGTTTAAAAATAAGGAAACTGCATGTACTGTCATAGCAAAACCGTAAACAGAATGTACAACGTTAAATGAGAATAATGAACACCGTATATCATTTATACAACAATATGGAAAAGCATAGTGAGGCTTTTTTCTGCAAACATCAAACACGTACTGCGACGCTGCACGAGGCTATATATGCTAATGTGTCTGCAGGAAATCTTGTAAACTATCCAACAGTGACCAACTAGCCACGGTGTCTCTTGTGTAATGAGCCTATTAAACTAAGCTACGCTCCGTTGTCACAGGTGGTGAATCATGCTTGAAAACAAATCCTCCCTTTTGTGTTGCTATAAAGACAATACTGACATCGGCCATGCAGGCCTCATATCTGCAGAAATAGACAAATTTGAATGGAAAGATCACGCGCCGAAAAATTGAAGAAGCAAACGTAATCATTCACTCTTTGTAAATATTCAAATTGTAAGTGTTTAAATCTTGGAATTATCCTTAAAAAGATATATAATGCAATAATGGCATATTGCTTATGCAAATAAAACACAATTAGTTTAATCTTTTCTGAAATAATTTAGCTCGGAATTCATCACGTATTTTTTATATTAAAAAAAGCATTTGCTTATTAGTTGATATGTGTGAGTGGACGAGATTTTTATTTTTAGCAAACGCTTCACAGTGACAAAAACAATGGTTCGTTCTATTTAAATTTCCATCCTATACCAAACAAATTATAATACTAGGGTTGGAAAGAATATAACACGTGTGTTATAGAGAGATCACACAAGGGATCAAAATCAACACAATAGTAGTTCTCAGACCTGTGTAAGCTGCCGCTGCCATTAATCAAGCAATATATTTTTTTCTGAGGCTGGGTGAGAGACTGAAATATATTAATTATTCCTTTTTTGCAAGAGATATATGAAAGTTCAGATTGTAAACAATGCGATCCACTATTTCAGCAGTGCTAGATAGCCGCTCTGATACAAGCATTAGTCCATTTAGTGCACACACTGTTAAAAGAAAATGCATCGCTATTATTTTTAACTAATCCAGAATCGTGAGAATATCTGCGGAAGCAGTTTTGATTTCGGACTCATGAGTTGCCTTTTTTTTCTCCTTCTGCTTCGTATTAAATTAATAGGGACGTTCGCCGGGGTGTGATGGTGAGCACACTGACATTTACATTGTAGGGGTCAGCGTTCCCAATTTCCTGTCACGGCAGTTGAAACAATGGGGCAAGTTTCACAATCCCCCCCCCTCTCCCTCCTCCCGTTCGATCCAGCCAGCGGTATAAATGGGATCACTGCAGGTCACGGCAGCATCGGTCCATCCACCTGTTTCAAAACGGCTGGCCAGTGTGGAAGAGTAGGCAAAAACACCAACTAGAGGCGGGGCTCTCCAGAGTTCTGTCTAGTGGGAGGCCGTTTCACCAGCGGTGTTAGGAGCGTTTAATAAACGTTAAGATATTTCGTTATTTATTTTACTCTTTTTACCAGCTAAGGTCCACTGAGCTCTGAAGCTATTTTTCAGAAGTGACCTGGCCACAAATGATAGCTCAACGACGTGGCTTATCGTGGAGATATTTGTAACAGCCAAAATGCGTGTTTCTAAATGTGGAGTGACAAATCGGAGGACCTGGAGAATAATACACACGACCACGGGGAGAACATACTAACATACAGCAGGCGTCATGGTCGGGATCGAACCCACCACCTTCTGTATACCAGGCGAGGTAGTTAACATCTCACCACCGCGGCGCCTAATAAACATGGTGCATTTATTTCCTAATTTATCACGTATTATATTAATTAGTTGGAGTAGTCATTGGAGAAATTAAGCGACTATAAGTTACATCTATCTTTGAATGATGTTACAGTGAGGTTCGAGTCCACGTTAAAACGAACCATGAGTCCAAACATCACTTTCACATTTAGTCATAATGTGCACACTCATCTACACCTTGCACAAGGGATAATTAAAAAAGGCACGCCAGACAGCATTGTCTCTACAAATCGTGCTCATGTCTTCATCTGCATGTGTAAGGAACCTAATTAAACTGCGGCAATAATTCACACTGCCGATATGGTCTTGGGCAGGATTTTTTTACAAATATTATTCTTATATCTCACGCCAGGTCACCATTCCACGTTCACCGATCGTCTAAATTTACACGCAAGATTGGGATTGTACACGCTGCACAAATCATATTATTGGTATGCACAAACACTTGCACCGCCGAACGTGGGTCATGCAAACTGCAGACAGGGCCACCCAGAGGTTGGAGGCCCAGGCAGCATGCCACGTGTTGTGGCCCGCCTTATTCATGAGCGATAATAATAAAAAAAGCCAATTCTGGGGCCCTATTTTGTGTGCTTTCAAGGGCAATTTGCCCAGCCACCCACTCCCATCCCGCTTTCTGGCAGCCCTTCCTGACGATTGAGATGCCATGATCTGAAGTATAAGTCCCCAAATATGTGTGGAGGGTTTGAAAGCTCAAGGATCTGTACAGATTAAGTAATCTGTAAAAGGATAAGTGGATCTGTGAAGCAATATTAAGGAGTCTTGCTGTCTCCCGAGGTCTATAATCACTGAATGCCACTGTAAGCACAATGTAATGCATCTTTACAAAACAATGTCTGAATGAGTCTCAGACATTTGGCCAATTCCATTTTGTCAAGAGTATTTTGCTCGTGGAAGGAAGCAGGGTTCTGAAGGAGCCACCAGGCATTTGGAGTGGATAACATTCAAATGTACACACATATTGGCTCGCAAACCGAGTTGCTGTACACGGGATAAATGGAACGTTGGGCCAACGGTTCAAACACATTCCAACGTTGGCCCAACGTTGCATGTTTACTGGTTAATGAGAGCTCGAGCAAAACACAGGATGGACAAGAGGGGATCATACCACGTTTAATGTTTGTATAATGCTTGTTTAACATTGCCACGTTGTCGTGCCAAATTGACCTTTTGAATGCGCCCACCAACCCCTCCTCCTCTTTGAAACGAGCTCACACCACAACGGCAATTTCTCTTTTGCACGTGCCACCTCTGACCCCCGTGCGCCGTGCCACGCTGCCGTTCCACGCTGCTGTAGGCCCCCCGGTGCAGTCTGTGACCGTGCACCTGCAGAAGTTTGACCTCGCCTCGGACGAACTGGGACGCCCAGGCTTTTTCACCATCGTCTACAACCAGGGCTTCGAGATCGAGCTCAACAACTACAAGTGGTTCGCGTTCTTCAAGGTGAGTCGCGCTGCCGAACGGGAGCCCCTAAGAGATGTGGGCTGAGAAACGATTCGGTAATAAATTTCATTCAATTGCCCAAATTAAAAAAAAAAATCATTTCCCAGGGAAGTAATCGACGACATCGTCGTCGTCGTCGTCATCATCACCACCCAATCGACGCCTATGACGGATAGGGCCTAAGGAGGCCTTCATCAGCCAGAAGATTGACAAAAGCTGAAACCTATTATTTATTCTAATATCAAGCACCCTGAGTGAAGGCGCTCTATAAATATACGAGATTAGATTAGATGTGTGTGTGAGGACACGTGATGGTCTGGTCAAATTTTGGTTCTTATCATTACGAACCCTCCAACATTGATCACACATCCAGGCGTTTTAACCCACCGATTATTGTTGTAACTGCTCACCAGGTGAATTGAAGACAAATTCTCATATCCCAACTTAGCAATTATCATCATCATCATCATTGCCAGACTGCCTCGAACTACTACTTGATGAGCGCCCGGTACAGCATATCGTGATGCTTTTGGCATAACAGTCTTGCAATCCGTTGATGTGCAGGTGGTAGGTGGATCATGTTATCGCAGGATCATGAGAGGAGGAGGTGGTGGTGGTGGCTTGCGGGAGCCATCATGCAACAGTGGATTGACAATGGCTGAGGATGAAGATAAATAATCCCTTTTGTTTTCTCCTGCTCATGAATAACTTTTACAAAATAAAACAAGGAAACTTGATTACGTGTGAATTTGAAAACATAGTCTACGTATTTTATTAGGAAATGTGTTCATTTTACGAGAGGTCCTGACTGAGAGGTTAAGAACATCCCAAATTCATAATTATTGTATAGTTCATGAGGGAAAAAAGTGTTGTAATTGGAGGAAATCTAAGTTGATGATAATTGCTATTAAACCTGCGCATACCGGCCTGGGCAAACGGACGCTATAAGCCCAATCGGAAACTCACTCTGAATTTAGTGTTGTTCGCAAATGTGTGAAAGCAGCTATATAATTATCGACACCATCCTAATAATTATACATGTTCAATCCACTGCTCGATCGAAGCCTCCCCCAAACCCTCACGGTCTTATGATGCAACAATCCACCTCCACACGAGCTTTATACAGGAAGGAAATATCTGTGCTCGGTATGTAAGACTAAAAAATAATTCTGTAGAAAGTTAAATAACATTTTAAATTGCAATCCAGTTTAACTGGGTGGTGAGGGCGACGTCTGAATATTTGAGTGACTTAAAGAAAATGGTTTTAATTGCTCAAGCGATGGTTTCCCCTCCCAAAACTTTTCAACATATTATTGGCCAATAGCAGGCCGGTGTTCCGTCCCAGTTGAGGTGTGAGATATGTGTTTTTGTTGTTACCCCACGGTTTTCAATTTCATGCTGAGGTGGGCACAATGATTTAATTCAACTCCCCCCCCCCCCCTCTCTACCCACCGCCTATTCCAGCTCTCTCCCACCGACGCTCCTTTTAGAAGGCAATTTTTTATGCAATTTATCCTGTCCTCATTGTTTGACTAAAATTGCTTCCCCCCCCCCCCCCCCACGGCCTTGGTTATGACAGTGACCATCTGCGCATTGTCACGTGCGGCCAGCAAACGTCTTGCTGCTAGGGGAGTCTCGTGGGTGCACATCGACCATCGGGGCTTAATTGATAAAAACCATTGTGGACGGACGCGCGATCATACCGATGGGCCCTTACAGAATGGCAAAGCTTAATGTTGCGTGAACGGCAGTTATTGTCACCACGTGGGGACGCGCTTGTTGCCCCAGTTAGTGAGCAATTTTACGCTCTGTACGAACCGCACACACAGTTCATGTGCACATGCAACTGTTGGTCGATGTAAAGAGAGATATGTAGTGAGTACACTGTGCGTTTAACAATAGAGTAAATATGAAAGGCTGAAAGTACCCATATCTCCGCTTGGTTCTCTCTTCGTAACGGCTGAGAAGCACTCTTGTCGGTGGTGTAGCAGTGGGCGTTCAAATTTCCCTTCAACAGAATCTGCTCGTTTAAACACGTGCTGCTGGGAAGCGTTGGCCCAGAGGTCTCGCAGGTGGATGGGGTATACGTTATTTAGTTTTAGCGACGTTAAGCAGATCCTTTGTCTGTTAATTGATTGTAATAATTTTAAAAATATATATATTTTATGAATCTATATATTTACAATCAGAAACATAGTATGCATTATGTAGTGGAGCAGGGGGCAGTGGTTCACGAGACCTAAGTTTGATTCCCAGCCATGGCTAACATTAGTCACTAGTGATGTCTGAACCGGTGCTGCACCAAACCAGTATTGACCAGCATGGTAAAGTTATGTTCAAATAACTGTCTTGACCAATATTGTGTGGAGAGGCAATTACGCAGTGGTCGATTGACATAGGGCTGTAAACAACAATCATAATAATTTGTATTATTTATGAAGTTAAATAAGTTAACGCATCTATATTTTCCTGTTGAATAATGTAACGCTCATTATGTACTTGTTTAAAAATAGCACATTTGTGCATTCAAAATTGCCCACGTGTCAACATTCCTTGAAAGTATTTAAAGTTACCCAGCATATAAGGTGAGCTCTCCAACCTTAATTCATTAGCATTGGCTGCCCATTGTCTGCTCTGTAAAAAAAGGTATTAAAAAAAAACATTAGCCTGCTGTGTGTATATTTCTGTCTCAGTTTTCCTGATGGTGAGCTGTTTTTTTGTGCATATCAGTGGTAAACCTGTATTGCAAGTTATTGGATCTATTCCAGAGATATATATTTAATGCATCGACTAAAACGCTTCCTTATTCGATTTAGAATACATCAATATTCATGCAAGTTGTATAGATTTGGAGTGTTGTGCAGTTTTGAATGTGTTCAAACAATTGAGTATAACCGCTAGATTTGAAGCTTTCGTGACTGCAAGGATTCATACTCTTTGGTTTCATTCGGTAAAGTCACGTGGGAAAAATGAAATAAAAGAAAACAATAAAATCACGACATTTCGGAGGCAACACAAGCTTCCGTCTTCAGGTGGAACAGTCACCTACGTGACTTTACCGAATAAAACCAAAGAGTATGAGTATAACCGCATTTTAATACTAATTAAAACTTGAATAATAAATAATTTACATCCCTGCGGAAGTCTACTGCTGGATGAAGGCCTCTGCACCCTGTGTCCAGCTATTTGTCTGCATCCCCAAGTTGGTCAGTGTTTACTTATGTGCATATTTTTGTTAAATATTTATGTTAATACATCAACCATCTCTCCCAGATATCTCTACCATACGTTGCTGCTGTCAATAAGCCAACAACAACTAATATTTCTGATACAAGCTAAACTATTTTATTTTACCAGGTTAAGCCTACTAAGATATATATTTTTTTTACAGAGGTGACCTGGCCACGCATGATAGCTTGTCGAAGTGGCTTATATCTTCATCACACTTGGGAATTCATAACAGCAGCCAAATAATCTAAACGCTGTGTGGTTTCTCGATGTGGAGGAGGAGGCTAAGCTGTAGGAAGCCGGATAAAAATCCATGCTGCCACCACGGGGAGAGAGAGAACACGCAGGCTTCAAATATACAATGACATGCATCGACAGGGTCTGGCATTAAACCCACAATCTCCTGTGTGCGGGGATAACAGCTGTTGTCAGGGTAAATGTATGACTATGAAGAAACCGGCACTTGGCGCTGCCTAGCTGTCCCATCAGCATAATTTAAACTCGACTTATTTTGTACACTGTGTTGGGAATGTCGTTGTGTTTAGATACTATTTAAACACAAATTGGCACCAAGGAGTGACACTGATCAGGTTGAAAGAAAAATAAACATCAGTGCCTCTGGATTTGTTGAATGCTTAAATGGCGCATTGGCAATGTCAACTATGACCTTGTTGATGATCTGCAGATGTTTAGTCCTCATGGCGACTCGAGTCTTGATGTTACTTTAGCAGTGCCTTTGCTGTGTAGATGAATGACAACACCAACCATCATTGGATAGACTACGATCATTCCCCAAGTGCTGCTGACATAAGTGGATCTATAGTTGACAAACTCTCCGTGTCCCAAAAGTTTCCACAGGTACACTCAATAGCAGATGAAGGGGTTAAATTAATACTCTTTGGTTCTATTCGGTAAAGTCACGTAGGTAAAAAATAAAACAACAAAAATCACGACGTTTCGGCCACAACACAAGTGGCCTTCTTCAGGTGAAGGAACAGAACTGTCGGGACAACAGCACTTCCTTGTGTTGTGGCCGAAACGTCGTGATTTTTGTTGTTTTATTTTTTACCTACGTGACTTTACCGAATAGAACCAAAGAGTATGGATCCTTGCAGTCACGAAAGCTTCAAATCTAGAAAGGGTTAAATCAAATTGCAGCCAAATTTTGACATTCAGGTCGAGGCAAAATGTGCTTCGCTTTATTTAGTACTGCGATTATACCCGCTTGCCTGATAATGTGAGAAAATTAAAGCAGTTCATAGAAAATGGCAACGTCTGTTTAAGTGTACCTTCGAACTGGATGTGATCATTAACGAATTGATATAAAAAAAACAGAAATACTGCGCTGCACGATGTGCCTTTGACACCGCGGGTCTAGGGCAGCCACGCTTGCACTGCAAATCAATCAATCACAACACCGCAAGGCACTTTGAGGTATTTATTTACCTGTCATTCTGATATACACACACACACATACGTGATTCCTGTCAGATGACTTGGAACAAGGGCAAGCATTAGGGCTTCAAGTTCACGTGACGCTGACTGGGCACATGCTGACGACATGGCAAGTTGTCATGAGACCCTGTTGTAACTCGAGGTGTCATATGCCTGCTTTTTTTTGGTGCCAACTTAACCAAAGTCAGGCTTCACAGTGCTGCTCTGTCGCTCTGAGCTCATTCGTGCTGTCAGCTGAAAGGAGCGTTGTCCCCGCAGTGTCGTTAGACTTTCAGTTGACCAGGAAGGTGCTGACGGATACAAAAAAAATTGGCAAATTATTCTTTGTCAGCAGCACGTTGATGTAGCTTTTTTTAAGCCTTGTTGCGGTATTCTCATTCGTTAATTTATTTGCTCGTATTACAATGCTGGGAGAGCAGTGGCACAGTGGTTAGAACGTTGTGCGGTCAGCCCAGTGTCGCCTGAGTTTGATTCCAGGTCATTGCTATCATCATTGATAAGCAATATCTGCACTGGTCCTGGCACCCCACTTCACCCAACCTGCGTGGTGAAGAATGATTAAACAATGCCTATGACCGATATAGCACCTGGCGACCTTCATCCAGCAACAGATTGACAGACAGCTCAAACCTATTGTTTGTCATATTGAGGTCAGCCTTGGAGACGCTCCAGGATTTGATAGGAGGTGGCTGTGTAGAAGGAGGAGGCTGGTGGAGGAGGAGGCTGGTGGAGGAGGAGGAGGTGGCTGGTGTAGGAGGAGGTGGCTGGTGTAGGAGGAGGCTGAGGGTGTGGAGGTGGTGAAGGAGCCTCACCAACACCTGCACCATTTCCAGACCCAACAAAGAGCGGTCGGCCATTTAAATACATCTTCTTAGCTCATTGGGCCTTGTCGGACGTGATCTGACTGACTCGCTGGATCTGCATTTAAATGGGCAGCTTTATTCAAAAAAGGTGTGGAGGTCACACACGTTATGGTCAGCCGTGAACTATGAGAGTGGGAGGGTTCGTGAAGGTTTGCAAACAATTATTGCCAAACTCCTGCAAGATATTTATTTTTAACGAAATTATCAAGTAACTATTTCATTGTTTATACACCTTATACAAACATACTTGATTGTTGCCTTTATGTGAGGCAGTATTGGCAGGCAGACCACTTGCTTGAGTACATTTATTTGTAGAGAGAATCTGTTTCAACTCATAGGAACCCGGGACTTGCGGTATTGATGATGTGCTGCCAACTACAAATGACCTTTGACCGAGGTAAACAAAACCATGACCCTATCTGTAGTATGGGCTGATGCTGGCTTGTCTATGCATGTGCTAGTAGAGCCCACACCCATAAATGACAATGCATGACAATGACTGAACAATCAAAAGAAGAGCCCTCTCTGTCAGAACAAGACGTCTCCGAAAGCTGGGCTGAGCTGCATTAAGGGTCGTACGTGCCTTCTGCAAATAATAAATCAAATGGTTATTTTCTAAGCCGGGATTCCCAGGGCATGCAAAGGGGGTTGGTATTCGTCATTTTTCAATACATTCTGCAGCTGTGCAGCAGTTTTCTTTTTACACTGCACCATTCCCAGCAGTGCTACAACCCAGAATTGTCAGGGAGGGTTTTTAAAGAGCATCTGCTGCCTGCATTTCACCGCACCGAAAGTGCCCTTCGGCAGGTCTACGCGTGGCGCATGGGTGTGCCGTGGCTTTCGGGGAAGCTTTATTCGGCTGTGCTCATGTTGCCACTATTGTTCTGACACTTGGTAGGGCCGAGAGCTGCCTTGCGTCATTCCTCCCACTGGCTTTCAAGGCACAGATTGAATCGTGCGCAGACGGCGCATCGCCTGCAGACGTGAATGAAGAGCGTACTGCCTGACGTTGTCTTGCAGCCTTATGTAAACAGACAACTGATGCAAACAAAAAAAACGAATCGCCACAACCTGAAATAATATATATATGAATAGAAATTTAAAAAAATGTGCAGCCCTTTGTCAATCCAATGGTATAGGTCAGTGGTTCATAACCTTAACTGCAGCCTTGCACCCCAGGTTCTTAATCGTTAATTAGTTTTATATATATAACTGGTAGGAACGAAGTTGTAAACTGAGTGTACCAGCCTGCAATAGATTAATGTGTCCGTCCGTCTGTCCCCTTTCAATACTTTAACGAAGTGAAATCTCGTGCTGTTGGGTGTAAAATCAGCAATAGACAGCGCAGAGACTTGTCATACCAGCCCACCCTGCAGGGACCTGTTAACAAACACATAGGGGTTTGATGAAACAAAGTAAGTTGTACTTACGTGCCCGTGCTTACTTTGCCTTTCGATTATTTACCTTCTTAAAAAAATCTGGCCATGTCTTGCACCCCCAGGGGTGCATGCACCTCGGGTTAGATGAAAGGGCTACCAATAATATAATGTCGGTCACGGGGTTCCTTTGGCCATACTTCACTTTGCTTCTCAGTGGGGGTCAGCGGACGGGACAGGGCCCGGGACTGGTTCACTGACGCTGACCACGGCCAGGAATCCAACTCAGGTCGCAGGGTTTGTCGTGCAGCGCACTGAACATTGCCACCACTCCGCCCGTGAAATAAAATGCATCTGCCGCTACATATGCATCTGCTATACGGCAGTGTCAAGTAAGACAGCTGTGATATTCAGAGTCTGTGTGTGCTACACAGCCAATGCGTCCGAGTTATTTACATGTGGAAATTTACGAGGCTGGTAGAAAGTGATGCAATACTGCACTGTAAATTAGAATGTGAATGTTTGTCGGAGTAGGAGGTTGCCCTATAGAGTTCGTACATTTGACTTGTGAACCAAACTGCCCTCATCTTTGGTCCAGAGGCACGCTGCCGCTGGAAATGAGCGATTTATTCATTTGTTTTCCCCTGCGTTTATTCCCTCGCTTATTTACTTCCAGTATTTTACTGTGATGTACGGCCCAGGTACAATATCTCATTTGTCAGTGTGGATTTGCTGGCAGACCATTGCTGATTGAATAGACAGTCTATATTCAAGATGCATTACTCGAAAATAACGTAAGTCATGCACCTAACATCGTAAATAACAAATACATGCGGGGGTGCACTTATTCTGGAGGGCATGGGATTTCAGGTCAACAGCCAGATTTCCTCTAATATATGGCCCCCCCATTATTCAGTCTCTACAGCTTGTATTCTTAGCTGCGGGTTACATGGAGCGTTTGTTGGGAACAATAAAAAAGAACTAGCACAAGCTATCTTTGCATTATTAAATAATTTTCACAATTTCAATGGATCCAGGGCAATGGCAAAATGTAAGGATGGAGAACGCCGCGTATGGTGTTCGTCGTTATGTCCGACGTTCCCCTCCTCGTGCTGGGAGCTTCTCTGAATAAGCAAGTACTTGAAACTAATCTATTTTTTTATGTTACCATGTGTAAGGCCAACGGAGCTACACAGTTCTTTCTCAGAAGCGACCTGGCCACAAATAATAGTTCAACGAAATGGCTCATCACATGAGGGAATTTCATTATTTACGTATGAACATTTTTTTTTTTATTCCACTAATTCTGACACGCACGGCATATAAGAGAAACTGAAATCGGTCTTGGGAGTTTGGTGTGATGTGGGGCAGCGGTGGGCAGCATGCTGCTTTAAACGCTGCGACTCATTCCACAGGTCACCGCCAACGAATTCAGTTTCCTCTCAACTGTGACGGGACCCACAGGCCTTAAAAAATACCAAAACGTTTTTATTTTGTTTATACCAGGTAAGAAAGGCCCAATGAGCTATTATCTCTTTTCTCAGAAGCGACCTGGCTATCACAAATGATAGCCCAGTCGAAGTGGCTCATCGTCATGTGCAACATTAATAGCAGCCAAAATACACTGGAAGCACGTTTATTCTAAATGTGGAGTAAAAATCTGAGGACCCGGAGAAAAATTCACGCGACCACGGGGAGAACATGCAAACTCCAAGTACAGGTTCGGGATCGAACTCACAACCTCCCTGTACAACAAGCGAGGCAGTTAACATCTCGCCACCGTTCCCCAGCACATGGGGCAAAACGCCGGACATGCTGCCAAACAACACGGGGTACAGACCCGCGTGCGCAGCCGACAACGTCTGCTCGTGTTTGTGCTCGCGCGCTCGCTCGTTGACATGCGCGTATGTGAATCCCTGCATGTGCGACCGTCTACGTGCGTGCGTGTGCGTGCGCGTGCAGTGCGAGCGAGTGGCGCAGTGGTTAGCGCAATGCGCTGCAAACCCGGCCATCCAAGTTCGAGTCCCACTCACGGCCAACATGAGTGACAAATATCTGAACCGGTCCTGAGCCCCTCGTCTAGGCAGACTCAGCCTTCAATGAGTTACCAAGTGTTGTTGTGTGAATATCAGCACCGAGGAGACAAAGGCGGTCGGGCGTGGTTGCTGGCCACCCACCCCCTTGTGCGCCGTGCGGGGCCTTCACAGGTGCTACTCGCAAACGGCCCTTGCCTCAACAGTATGTTAATGCTACACGGGGGTGTCTTTGTGCATTTGCAGTATGAGCAGGCCGGGGGTAAGGTGATCAGTTACTGCGATCAGACGTTCCCGGGCTGGGTGCACGACAGCCTGGGCCACAACTGGGCCTGCTTCCAGGGCAAGCGCGTTTCTTCTGGGCCCAGTGTCCCCAGGTCGACGCCGCTGGACGCCGCCACCTACAAAAGGTGCGTGTGCCGCACGCACCGCCTGAGCAGCCGGTATTCCCGGGCAGTCCGCCGTCCGCATACTAACCAGGCTAAAGACCTGCTTGGCTTCTGAGATCCGACGGGATCTGGTGCTTTCAGGGTGATTTGTGGGTCGTAGGCTCCCATTACAAAGCGAGGAGTCGGGGGCATCGCAAAGGTAAGAAAGGTGTATTTCGTTTCAATTTTTTTTTTATTATTGTCACAAAGTGTGATGGGGACCGAGGGGAGCGGTTCCACCACCAAGGTTGGTGCATCGTGCTGTGAATCCTGCGACCTGGGTTTGACTTCTGGCTATGGCTAGCATAGGTAGCGAGTGATATATGAACGGTCTCGGGTCCCCATTTCACCAGTGGGCACTGACCAGTACAGTGAATTATGGGCATGGCCGACAGACACATGGGAAGGCCTTGATCCAGCAGTGGATTGACAAAGAGCTGTAAAATATGAAAAAATAAATAAATATAATAGTTGCTTCATTGGGCACATGTTTGAGTGATTCATCACAAGGTCAAAGTGAGATATAGCTTGTACATGTGATTTCCTTGCGGAGATAGGAGCCCAGTATTTGGGGCGCAGTTCTGCCTGCTCACTCTCCGGCTCGCACGTGATCCTGAATGAATCCACTTGAGCATTCAACTGTAAACATCTACGTTTCCACCTTGGTTAAGCGAGCCTTGGCACAAGTAGTTTAATGTGCATCCTTTGTTTTGTCCCAGAAAGCCATGCCGCAGACCATCGTCGCTTCGGAGAAATGTTGTGGTGGGTTTTGATTGTTTTGCTTTTATGCATATCGATAGCTTCCACACGAGTCACTTGCAATTTAACGTAATCGTATTACCCCGTGTTTGCTTGAATTGCTTTTCACTTACGATGACCGTTTAGATAGCCGCCACCACACGCATTAAGCATTTAAAATTGGCAGGCGTGAAGAGAGAGAGAGGGAGAAACAATATCTAGACCATGACTGAAGTGGGAGCCACAAAGCGGAGACCACTTTTGGCGTATCGAACGTCTCTGATGCAAAGTGCCATAAGCGACAGGACAATGCTGGATTTAAGTGTACTTTACTCTTGAAATATGTCCTTGGAAAAACAGCTGTAAAAAACACAGCAGGTTTTTTTTTGTTATCCACAAAGTACAAATCGTTATCGCGGTTAATGAGCTGTCAAAGTTAGATTTTATGCGTTATCCATGGCTTTTGGTGGGCAAACTTCGATCAACATCAGCACCTGACATGTAGTTTTAACCTAATAGTGCTGAGGGATCCATATATATGATACCATGGGAAATGTGGAACACATAACCTTGTATTGACTTCCAAAGAGCCACTTTAATGGAATTAATATCAATGCGCATAGGGTAATGTTTCTTCATGTACCATCTGCTTCCACTGATTGGCCAGAGTGATTTTATTTGATTTGAAAAGGCTGTTTCAAATTCGTGCATTACACATGGTTCAATTTAATTCAATAATGCAGCGCAAATTTAATTGCCCATGCTTTGTTACACGACAAACTGTGCTGACTTCTGTAATTTTACGTTTTGTACTTAACTACCGACATATACGTAGCTATGTATTTGTATAAGCACGTAGTATTTTCACATATATATACAAATGCATGTAATCGAAGCATGCTATTCCTGCACACCGTTATAGAATAAACACACTACTATTAAACGCAATCTATCCCTCGAGTTTCCTGGCTGGTAACTCTGTTGTTCGTGGCCGCTGCCTCCAAGACTAGCTGGGTTACTGGCTGCCCCTGGATTTCCCACGTGAGAAATACATTTTGGAGAGTAAATGGCAGACAAAAAGTTCGGAAGACTTTTAACAGGCAGCAATGCCGGAGAGGTGGAAGTGACGGACACGTAGCTGACATGGTCCATTTAAAATTGCTTTCACTTTTCCACTCGTGCTCCTATTTACATAATTATTTCGCCAGAATAGCGATTTAAATGCTAGAGAATGCAACACAACCCTCATAATGCCTATTATGTTGGTGTTTTATTATGCAAACGGAAGATCAATTTTATTGCTCCGAGTACAGTGAGATTAAGAGGAGCGGATTAATTTGAGAGCTGTCTCTCAGGAGTGTGTATAGATATGCACATATAGGATTACATTTTCCTCTTTCCCTTATAAATGATGATGATGATGACAATAATCACGAGGATAATGAGTTTCCCATTACAAATGATGATGACAATAATCATGAGGATAATAAGCTTCCCATTGCCCATCTAGTTCATTCTCATGACATAAAACAAGCTAACCCAGTTTGCATACCCAGGCTTCACTTTCCCAACTCTATATATATTTTTGTATCGCGTCTGAAGTTGCTCACGAAACGTGTACAAGAAATTATGATTGCAGATCAGCAACGGAGAGACAGAGCGTGACAGTTGAGCCATGGGGTTCCGTAGTCCAGCCAAGAGGGGCTTGTCCTGACAATGGATCAGAGGGCCTTGATTGCATTTCTCTCAATTTTCTGCAACTGTGCAAGGTGCGCCCGGAGAAAATTGCCGTCTATAGTTAATATGGAAAGGCTACAATGGGCTCTAACACTGACATGGGAAACAATAACGTAATAATGAAAAAAACACATTTTGAACCCAATCATTATTAGCAATGCAAATCCGAGAGTGGTAAGAAATTGACCTGCAAGACTGCAAAACATGTAATCAGGTGGGGAGGCAGAGGTGTGTAATGAGTTTACCATTGCAGGCTGTGAAGAAGGAGGTCAAAGCAACGCCGCGTGTCTGTGTGTGTGTGAGGCCGGCAAAGGAAACACAATTTGCAGGGCGAGATGAGGAGAGACGAGTAGCGTGGCCAGGGCAGAGGAAGGGAGCAATAATGTGGGAGACTTCAGAAGAGGTTAGCCAGGAAAAGAGGCAACGTAGTGATGATGAGGTCATGGGTTTGCAGGGGTTTTTTTGTTGTTGTTGTTGTTGCTGCTGCTGCGGTTAGCATCAGTGTCATATGTTTACTAAAAACATTGTTTGGAAATCAATTGAAGTGTGTGTTTTTTTTAAATGCTACCAATATTGTATCCCACACGTGAAACGGCCTTCAAATTTGTTGTGGTATAAGTGGGTTTAGAATGAAGTCAATAGTTTAAATTGATATATAATCCACTTAATGGAATTAATCGACAGACAGTGATAATCCGGGCTGAAATTTTCACTGAATATTTCCCGGGTCGCTGGTAGCCTGGTGTAGATGGCACGTGACTAACAGCCACAGCGAGACGTATACGGGACGTGGTGTGCTGGGTGCGTCAATATTTTACACTTCACTGACCAATATAGACCCGGCTGAATTTAAGCCCCGGTTATGAGGACATTTCTGTAAAATCACCGTATAAATCACAGCACACGACACTGTCATCGTAGACAAATACATCACAATATGAATAAGCTGGGGGTGTTTACTCTTATTCTCTGTGGAAACCCGGTAGCAGCCAGGCAGGCTACAATGCCCCATAATAAAAGCTGGGCTATTACCCCTGCTCCTTAATGGGAACCCAGTGACAGGACCGGCGCGCTACGATGCCCCATGACCCAGCACCTCTCGCACCTCTGTTGCCCGCAGCGAGCCACAGAAGCTGTACGAGTACAACCCGGCGTTCGTCCATGCCATAAACTCGGCGCAGTCTTCGTGGAGGGCGGGGCGCTACCTGGACATGGAGAGGCGAACCATGGAAGAGATTGTGCGGCGCTCGGGTGGAACTGGCTCGATCATTCCTAAGTGAGCACCCGCACAATGTCCTGGAGATATTCTCACTCTCCTCATTCTCGCGCGGCCCTGTGGTGTGGTGCCTCGGATGACCGACTCACGGTCAACTCACAAGTGACCTGTTTACATGCGGCGGTATTTTGTTTGGGGCACCACGGTGGTGAGATGTTAACTGCCTCACCTGGTGTACAGGAGGTCGTGGGTCCAATCTCTATCCCAGACCCTGATGCCTTTATATTTAGAGTTTGCATGTTCCGTCTCCCCATGGTCGCGTGGATTTTTCCCCGCGTCCTCCGGTTTTTCCCTCCACATTTAGAAACACGTGTTTAGAGTAGTTGGCTGATATAGATTTCCACTCGATAAGCCACTTCGTTGAGCTATTATTTGTGGCCAGGTGGCTTCTGGAAATAGCTATGTGGGATGTACGCATCTAGTAAAATAAAAAATAAAACGTTAAAAAAAAATAGGCCTGACTCTTATACAGCCATCACCATCAGGCATGATTAATGCACTGCTGGATGAAGACCTCCACAAAGCATCACCATCCCTCACAATGTCGCGATGCAATAATCCATGCAGCATCTGGAAATGAGCTGATTTCATCAATATATTTTATAGATCGCAGATTAAAATGTAGCTATTTGTAAACGTATATAGAAATAACGTGAACTCATATATGAATAAAGTTATAGTCATTTATTTTGCATGGCCGTCCAGTCCATTAACTCGCAATTATGGGGAAAGATCCTAAAGTGCAAGGAATGAGAACGAATGGACATGGTTAAGGATGAGATGCAAATAATGGGCAGGTCACGTCATGAGAACAACTGGTGAGAGATGAGATAAATTAACCATGGAGTAGTTAGCAAGCAGAGGACAGAAAAGGAAGATGAAGACAGCGGAAGAGATGACAAGACAGAGTCACAGTTCAGAGGTCACTACTAGACAGGAATTAATAAGGAAAGGAATGGATGGCGTTTTGGCTAGCAGTGGGATTTTACAGGCTGACAACAACAATCATGAGAACATAAGCGGTTAAATATGAATGAAGCCACTGAAGCAAGTCATAATGGGAAGGCTTAATTCGGCCTTATCATTGCTGTGTAGTTGATGGACAATAACTTAAGGTGTAGGGAATCTAAAAGCTACAATGCCTGGCACCCATTTGGGCATCGTTAAGATGTTGCCATAAATTGGCAACCATGGGGTTAATTCCCTTTGGATTCCCCCGCAGTGAATGTACACAGAGCCCGCTTCCCAACACAGCGTGGCGTTAACTCCGGCTCGGGAGGCTCCGAGTGGACGGTGTGAGTTGAACGTGGCAGTGGCAGTCCCCGTATAATTGAAGTCGAGGTTATGTTGTTGTTGTTGTTATTGGTTGTTTTTGTGATGGGTGGCGGTGGGAGGGAGGATTGTAAGGTAAGGGGGTTTATGCTCACGTCGTTGGCATCACCGCTTTTTCAGCTCCGAGTTTTTATGCCGAGACAAATAGTTCCACAACATGCCATGGTTAAATGCGCATGTGTCTGTGTTTTTTTTGTGTGTGTATATATAGCTTGTAGCAATAATCCCACCATCATGTATAAATTGTGAAGGCATCTTCCTGCTGTGTCAGTCATGGTCGTTGTTTAACCATACTTCACCACACAGGTTAGTGAGGGTTGTGCAAGTTATGTATACGTGTACATCGTTATACATACAGATGGAATGCTGGCACCGTGGTGAGGGCACTGTGCAATGAACCTGGTGATCTGGGCTCAATTCCTGCCGCCTTTCATTATCCTTGTACTTGAACATCGTTGCAAAGTGTGGTCAAACAACGCCCATGGTGCAGCTTTGGGATGTCTTCGTCCAGATGTGGGTTGGCTGTAAATCCATCTTACTATGGTCAGCGCACAAAACTGACGATCAAGAAGGTTTCAAGTTCAAATTCCCATTTGGGGATCAGCTCACTGCTTTATCCTCATAACATTCGGGGGAATTCAACTGTGGGCATCACATGGTGATATTGGTCAGCGCCATGGGAATGTGGAATTTCCACCGCAATTTTTTTGAGCTGCCAGCGCAAATTGGCACTGCCCGATTGCGCGTGCAAGCATGGCTATACTTTCTAATTAGTTATTTTACTTATTAGTTGATACGTTTTTTTAATGTAACTTCCAAATCAACGACGGAGTCAACGAGGGCGATAATGGACAGGTAGCAGCGGTGACAGCGAACGCGTACGGAATGACGTGCGCATTGTGTCACTTCCCATCCCCACATCCCGACCCCCCCCCCCCCCCCCCCCCCACCGCCCCATCCGCCCCCCTTTCCGATCCCCAGCCGGCCCCGGGCAGCTGCTGCGAGCGACGAGACGAGGAGGCGAGCGGCCGTGCTGCCCGCGGCGTGGGACTGGAGGGACGTGCGTGGAGTCAGCTACGTCTCGCCAGTGCGCGACCAAGGTGCCCCCCCGAACTCATTTCCGTTAGGACTGCTCTTTGTGTTTCATTTCTCGTCCTTACCCCCACCCCCGCGCCTCCAATTAGCACGGTTGGCTACGTGCGGTGCGAAAGAAATTCGGCGTACATACATACGCACGTAACGCCCACGTATTGAACTTCTTTTTTTTTGTAGTACAGCTCTACACCAGCTCGGTACAGAGCACAAATCGCAGGGAAAGAAAAATGGGCGGTGGCGGGGGGTAGGGGTGGGCATATATACTGCACGGACTACGTCCTAGAACCTCGTGTTCCTGTGTAGGGGGGGGGGGGGAGGGGGGATCGTGCTGATTGCACCACCCTGCTGTCAGCAGGACCGCGGGAGCGCGGATTCCTACATGTTAGACTTCAAACGGAGACGCACAGGCGTGGGAGAATAGATTCTGAGAGAAAGGGCGACGCGCGGTGCGGGGGGAGGAGTTGAGTGAGTCCCGAACGATCGGGAGCGGCGGCGGAGAAACGACGTTCGTCCGGTTCGAGGAGACGACCGGCTTCACAAGGAGACCGTTTGAGGCAGATCAGAGGAGGTGACCAACTTGCTGGGCCCGTGGACTTATGGCAAGAGTCCTCCAACATTTCACATTCACGGATAGCCCGTTTCTGAAGTTCCTCCGTCATTCCTCTCCGTTCCACGCCTCCTCCTCCTCCTCCAGTCCGTTGGTCCATCCAGCCATAGAGATGGATAACACTGCAGTCGATTGGCAGGTCTCGCTCCAAGGGGTCAAAGGTGGGCACTCCCACGTCTTCCAAGATGTCTGGGTAGATACCCCCTAGAGCTGCTTCGAGTGGAGGTCTTTCCACCAGCAGTGGCCTGAGCATGGAATTGCAGAAAAATGCACCTTCGCCTTTCAGCTAATATTGATGCATGCTTACTCCGTTGGCATTGCATGCTATGGAACAGCAATGCCTGACCCACCCTCTGGCGGATCGAATGAGCAAATCACACCCACAGACGCGTGGGTGTAAATGGCCACATTTCTGAGAGAGAGGGAAACAATATAGAAGCACAATTGTTTTTTTCTATTCCAGGATGTGTCACTCATATTTATGTAGATAAACATTGTGTTTCGGAATGGGCGGCAGGGGTTAAATTATATTGTGACAACGGTGTATTTATTGTGCACCTGAACAGCGATGCATTATTAAGGGGCTGACATATGGGAGTGACCTGTCAAATCATGGTCCCTAGGCTAAGGTCAACACCACTAGACCGGCTATGTTATCTGCAACATGAAGCAATTTTGTAGGCATTACCCATATCGCAACTATACTCCTCACCCATAACATTTTCACGTGAATAATTATTATTTTACCTGCCTATTACTGTTTAACAACCGGTATGCTATGAAGTTGGCCATTATTATTTTTCGTTCGTAATTTAAGGCTGATGAATATTAATGCTGAGGTTAAACTCTTACCTTAGCATCAAATATGACAATTATTTTGTTCACAGTGCTCACGGGTAATTTGTGTCCAATAGAAGGTCCGTTACGAACCGAGTACGGAATTATGCATCTGAAACTCCAATTACACTTCTGAAATGGCACCTTTAAAGTGCTTGCGACGTTAGAATCGGGCAACATGCAGTTTAGGGAGGGAATGTTGTCTGGGTTATATATTCGTTGTACTCAATTGAAGGTAGCTAAAGATGGAATACTTGAAGTGGTCAGGTGGCTCAGAGGTTAGAGCATTGAACTGGGACCCCCGCGATTCTGGGTTTAAATCCATGTCACCAATCATAATTAAACCAGGTTTCCAAGCCCAGTGAGTTGACAGGCTCAACTCGCTCGCCAATGACAGCTCAAAGGAAGTATACTTTCTCGCTGAATATGGCTAAAATATAAAAAAATTAAAGTGAAAACTTATCGGTGTAACTGTCGCACAACGATAATTTCCACCATAGCGGAGCACGAGGAGAAAGTTTGCCATGCCCTCGCGTGGGAAAAGAGGAGGGATTTCAGGAAATAGTTGTAGTGAGATTGCCTTCGGCGGGGGTGCTCCAAAACAACGAGACGCAGCGGATGTGTGAGATCTCTCGGTGGGTCTGTCGTCTGCAGACGTCACGCCAAATAGCACAATTGGCCGACGATTGGGAAAAGCGACGGGCAATAATTCAGGGGGGATGATGTCACGGTACGTAATGGTTACCGCTTTAACACGTAAGCTTTGGCGACCAATATCATCCGTAATAGAGTTTTTTTTGGGTTAGATCACGTAAATATATAAATGTGTCGTTCAACCCGCCACCACCCGACACAGCCAACTAGTAAGGGTGGTCACGTAAACAGAACGTGGCCAATTGGTCACTAGTACAGCGCACCGGTGTGTTGGAGAGCCAAGCCACAACATGTATAATCTGAGTACGACGTTTCGCCAGAAATTACAAGCAGCTTCATCAGGCTGTCGCCTGTAGTCGGTTCGTATTATGGATAATGGTTACCGCACTGCACGTGGAATCCAGAGGCAGTTGGAACACAAAAGAAAGAGTCACGTTTCTTAATCCCTCCCACCTCTGCCAACCCAGCAGCAAACAAAACATCGGTGCATCACAGTCCGTCGATCAGCAGGTGGCGTGTGGTGGGGTAAAGTGTGGGTACTCCCTCGTCTTAAGGGACATCTGGCTAGAATGAGATAGTGGACCACTATCTCAAAAGTCAATTTTTTTTAAAATTTCCTGTTGTGGTTTTCACACCTGATGATGACTGCTTGTGTTGCAGTCGAAACGTCGTGAAAATTTCATTGTTTTATATTTTTATTATTTTATTGTTTCCCTTCTACGTGGTGACTTTACCGAAAGAACCAAGAATATGAATCCCTGCAGTCACGAAAGCTTTAAATCAAAAATATATATATACTGATAACACATTTGTTTATTACACGTGATCATGACTGCGTCAACAGCACGTGTCATAATGTCCTTTGTTTATATCAAATGTTTCTTTTGGGGGGAGGCATAATCAAAAACAGTCCATTTCCCTCGAGCCATCAATGTCAAAACCTTGCCCATCGAAGGACATTGTAAATCAGAAAAATTAATGGAAAATTAGGCTTCATATACTTATATTAAAAGCAGCACAGGTACGTTTTGTGATTCATGGACATATTAAAAATGTCGTTGTACTGACCGCCCATCAATTTAAACAGTTTGAAAACTAGCCATAAACCCAGGTACACATGCCTGCGATGAAGATAAATGTGTTCCAATGTGGGTTAAAGTGCACCATAATGATACGACGACATTACCTTCCATCGTGAATACCTCCTGTTAATCTGCAACCGGTTCCGGTTGTCTCACCGCTCGTCTGTGGTTAAATAAGTCGACGTTTCGAGATGCAATTTGCTTGAATGACGCTACGTTCAATTATTACGATGACAAAACGTAGCGTCAACAATCCACACGCGCGCACACATCGCACCGCACAAACGTGCGCGTGCAGTTTTTTTTTCTATTGAGCTCTTGGTCCAACAAATAAGGATCTCGCCCCCTGGGCTTTAGAATAGGGACGAGCTGGAAATGAAATAAGAATGTTGACGTAGCTCTTTGAGCACAGCGACCTTAAGCCAGAGAGAGAAAAGAAAAGGTATGAAGTGAAGCTTCCGTGTAATTGTGTTGTCATTGTAGGATTATGTGTTTTTTTCCTCCGGAATTTAGCTTTCCAAATGATATGCAGCATCACAGCAGTGAGGCCAATATAATGCGCCATAAACCCTTGAAGCAATCATAGTTAATGTATCGGTGATATGACCCTGCGGAGCAGGGCTTATGTGCTATTGTTATATTTATTGTTACAACGGTATAGTCGATATAGGTTTTATAATAACAGTAATGGCCTTTAAAATGATAGGTACAGTATGTATAATGAAGAGATGGGCAAGGATATTTTAAATTGGTTATTTCCCCGCTGGTACAATTCATGACTAGAGAACATGAAAGTAGATTTTTATTTTTGCGTGGTGTGAAATGAGGTTAATATTTTAAACAGCCATGAGACCACACGTAATTGGGGAAATTATGCTTCGTATAAAAAAAAACACACGTGAGCATCTTGAAAGGGTGTTTATGATACAGGAGTTTTCATTTTATGGCTAAAAAGGAGAGGTGTGTTTTGAAAAAAAAAAGTTCTTACTTTTGGTAACCATTACATATTCAGCAATTAGTAACGAACGTTAATGCAAGGACATTAATATAGAAAGTTTTGAAAGAAAAGTGCTCTCGTATGTTTTAGCTTTGGATGTTACTCAGATGGCAGACCAACAGGTGCCCAATTATAGACGCACAAGTTCAAATCCTGGCTCTGGTCAGCTCAACTGCCCATCTGGTGCCAGTAAAATTAAAGTTGCACACTTGGGATGTTAAAAAAAATCGCCGCCCAGTAATAAGTTACATTTTCACGATTCGTGATGTTGAAACGATTCAAGGGTTTTCGTCTCGATTTTGTTTCCATCTCTTACAAATCGGTGGTTTCACTCCATTGGTGTAAATGTAGCGTGAGCGTACTATTTTGATACATTTAAAATGATACATTCTCACACGCATCTCGCACTACATACATCGTGAGCCTAAGAAATCTATTTCAGCTATTTAATTGACGCATCCATACGTGCCTATAGAGTACACATGCTAAGTCTGCTACGATCGGTGAGAAGGCTGCAGCGGTCATCAAATGAATATTGTCCCTCCTTTGAGAATGTGGAATTGACTCCCACGCTGCCTCAAAACTACACGGATGGGCACTGCACAACATTAATTTGAGCACGGGGGGGGGGGGGAACTTAACCTGACATATATCTGTAATTCTCACACAGAGTATTCACAAGGTTGCATGTGTAACCCATTCCTGCCTTGTATATATGTATATCTGTGTGCATGTGTGAATATATAGAGCAGGGAGTTCTAGTTTAATGGTCTACGACCTTCGCTACTAATCCGGCGACCCGAGTCCGAGTCCCGCTCGCGACCAATAACAGTTGGCATCTCCTAGATCGACTCAGCCTAAAATGAGTGCCTGCTATAGTGTGTAAACACCAGCACGTGGGGAGACAAAGGCAGCCGGGCGTGGTGTTTTTTCCACACCCCACCTCGTGTGCCGTTCCGGCCTTCATCGGTTGCTCGCTAACAGCACTTGCCCCAGCAGTCTGATGAAGGCTGTGACGGCGGACCTATGTCTTTGACGTGTAACGTGTTGCACGCTGTGCTCCGTGCGAACAGGCGCCTGTGGAAGCTGCTACTCCTTCGCCTCCATGGCCATGCTGGAGGCTCGCGTTCGCATCCTCAGCAACAACACGCAGCAGCCCGTGTTCAGCCCCCAGCACATCGTCTCGTGCAGCCCCTACTCGCAAGGTGGAGGGGTTCTCACGTGTGGGGCAAACCCCGTCTGTTTGAATGCATGCCGCGGGAATATGGATACATGCATGTGTATGTACGTATGTTGAATGCTTTTTGCACCGTGCGTAGCCAGCCGTGCTCATCGGAGGTGCAGGGGGAAAAAGGATGGGTGAACGGATGGATATTTGTGTGTGTGTGTGGGTCGGGGGAGCGGTAGTGTAGTGGTTAGCATGGCGCTACGAACTGGGCGGCCAACACCGGTGACGATTATCCGAACCGGTGCTGAGCCTCCTCTCGGTCGAGTCAGCCTCAAATGAGTACCTGGTGCGGTGTGTAAACATCGCCACTGGGGAGACAAAGGTGGCCGAGCGTGGTGCTGGCCACCCAGCCCCTAATTGGCATCTGTATCACCACCACCAAGCACCACCAACAACAACACATACCGCTCTCATCATCAAAGCCTGCACAATTATCATCACCGTCATTGTCATCATCATCTTTGGAAAGCCTTTCTATGCAATATTCATCATCATCATCATCATACGCCATGGTCAATCCACTGCTGGATGAAGGCCTCCCCAAGCTGCTGCCACCTCTCATGGTCCTGCAATGTAACAATCCCCCGTGCACCTGTACATCGCTCCATCTCCACAGTGGACGTGCCCCCTGACGTGTTCCATCCCTCGGCTGCCAATCCATGATTGTTTTTGATCATCAACCACCATCCATTGGCATGACAAGCCCCACCCAAGCCGACTTTCGCAACCTCCGATGAGCGCGGTTGGCTACGTACGGTGCTAAAGAAGTTCAACATATATACAGCTGACTTTTCTCAATTCTCATCACGGCATAATATAAATGCCCTGATAGTGCATTGTCTTTGTGCCGTTCGCCTTTTGGCGTTCTCTGGTCTCACACTTTGAGGCTAGGCTCAAACGAAAGCTGTCTCTGGTTGTGGACCAATCAGTTTCAAAGACAATGCACTACATTTTATTAGAGCATGTTTTTTGTTTGCATGCTCACCACAAGTACGTGTGGTTAATGCAGACAGGATTCCTTGAAAAGGGATTCTGTTTGGTGGTTTTAACATCTTAACACCTGTGTTATTGCCATAAAGGGTAAAAGCTATTGTTATATATTGTTATATGGCATGACAATTATTATTATTATTATGACGATTCGCTGACGCCCTTGTGTCGCGCGCACTCGACCAGGCTGCGACGGCGGGTTCCCGTACCTGATCGCGGGCAAGTTCGCGCAAGACTTCGGCGTCATCGAGGAAAGCTGCTACCCGTACATCGGCCAGGACAGCAAGTGCCTCCCCAAGGACCCTAGCTGCCTGCGCTACTACACCGCTCGCTACCACTACGTGGGCGGGTTCTACGGCGCCTGCAGCGAGGAGCTCATGCGTCTCGAGCTGGTGGAGAACGGGCCCCTGGCCATCGGCTTCCAGGTGTACGACGACTTCATGGCCTACCAGGGCGGCATCTACCACCACACGGGCCTGCGCGATCAGTTCAACCCCTTCGAGGAGACCAACCACGCCGTGCTGCTGGTGGGCTACGGCACGGACGCGGCGGCCCCGGAGGGCACCGGCGAGCCCTTCTGGATCGTCAAGAACAGCTGGGGCGAGGGCTGGGGAGAGGGAGGCTACTTCAGGATCCGCCGTGGCAATGACGAGTGCGCCTTCGAGAGCATCGCCATGGCAGCCACTCCCATCCCCAAGATTTGATCTTTTTATTTAGGTTCTGTTTTGTTGTTGTTGTTGTTTTCTATGATTACGTTACAATTGTGATGTTTTTGGGTTTGTGTCATATAATCATCAGCTTTTTCTTGGGTTGCCACCTGTTTTTTTTTCTTCCAAGATAGTTCTCTTTTTGGGTTTAGCTGTCCTGGAAAATCAGTAAGTCTTCCCGGGAAAAAGTCTTGCTTTTATCAAATGTGTAATACACCAATACAGTCACGGCCACATTAACTCAGTTTAACACATAGGCTTCCGCGACCAACTCTGGCTGTCGCCTGATGATGCTCGTTGCAATTACTGGCGAAACGTCGGACTATAATTGTTAATGTTGTGGGTTTACTCTCCAACACACCGGTCCGCTGAACTAGTAACGAATTGTCATATTTTGTTTACGTGACAAACTTTACTAATTGGCAGTATCGGGTGGTGGCGGGTTTCACGATACATTTATAATTACGCGATTTAACCGAAACACCTCTTACGGATTAACCCATAGCCAAATAATGCCTTAGGCCCTCATATGTTTGTAGGCCCTCCTTCCATGTTGAAGTAACAGCTGAACGAAGGTAGCAGCGCTATCGGAATTTCTGTCTTTGAATTACGATGACATCATTCATCCATGACTGCTTGACAGCCAAAGTTAGAAGGAAAAAAATACACTTGAAGAAATGGAGTGAAGTGAGTTATTTATGTTTGAAGAAATTACCTTGATTCGAATACATGTATGAATTTTACATAGGTGAATGTTTGATGACTTCTTGACAATGTTTTGAAATCCACGTAGGCCCGTCTCTCCTATTAGTCTTAGGCCCATCAATCTTAATCTGACCCTGAATGCAATACATTCACATTCCGTTTTCACCTGTTCTAATATTGTAAGATATTCTTATCATATTTCACAGGTGTTTGAGCCGTCGGATGGGGGCCATGTCATCATCGTTACCATGTTATGAAATGGAGAAATGATCTTGTGGAGCTTGAAACGTGAAAAGTGTAAAATCACGACGTGTTGATGAACGAAGCCTGAACAAATAACATCGCATTACTGCAGAATTATTTTACTTGGCTTCTTTATCCACCCAGTGCCTTTATAGTTCCCTGTTCAGAGTGTTCACCGCTTGGGAGAAACCCTCATGAGCTAGAAACAAAAATGTTAAGTAAAAAGAAGCCCTTTAGTATTATGGTCGTGTTACTGACATTGGTAAATCAATCAGCTGTCACTGAGGAGTACCCAGGAAAATCATGGGTGGCTTAAAACCAGAATTGAACCCAGAAACTGAACATTCCCAGCTGAGTGTTCTAACATCCATTAGCTCTGTGGACAACCCAGTCAACTCAAATTCATTGTCATAATGAACAATTTCAAGTTTTTCATTTATTGTGTGGACAAAAGCATCCCACTTTGTTGGCACCATTGTCTAAAATGCCTTACAGATGTCAATCTTACTTCCACGATGTTATCATCATCCTTGAGAATGTTATTAATTTTCTGTCCACTACTGGGAGCAGGCAATGCTCCTCCGGAGTGATTGTCATCTGTTTTGTGCACGTGATTTGCGACGAAGAAATTACGTTAATATTGATGTTTTCTTTATTGAACTATGACCTATGATAACCACTGTGAAGAGTTTTTTTTCATTTTGTGCAATGAAAAACATCCATAAAGTGTGTCACTTGGCACGAATCATCACATTACTTGGCTTGGTTTTATTTTTTGCATTGCTGAGTTTTGACCATAGGTTAGTTGTTAGAGCTGTTATTTGTTAATTCTGAAACCTTACTGAGGTGACCGCATGGTAAATTTAACAACAAAAATTTCGACACATTTGTCAATAACACTCTGTAGCCTTCAAAGAAAAAAGTGATGGCCGATGTTTCCAGCAATGGCCCTTCTTAACAGCACACGAATAGCACAAACATGCCATGAAGAACAAGCACTGGCCAAAAACATCACCCATTTTATATATATATATGTTTCGGTCCACGAGCGTTATTGACAAATATGTCGGGTTATTTTGTTTGTAATTGTGTTTGTGCTCCACTGCCAATGCAGCATCGCCAAGTAATTTGTTTAACATTACAGATTTACGTCAGTCGTGGCATTAGGGCTAGGTGCTTGCCTCGGGCAGGACATAGTGTGAGGAAGTACACTAAAAATGTGTTTCAGGGATGAAATAGCCACCACCCACCACACCACCACCCAGCACACCACCCTCCACATTCCCGAGGGCACCAGTAAATCTAGCACTGCCTGTTTCACGTAAGAACATTCGCCATATCTGGGTTGTCTCAGCATGACTTGGCTGGGCCCAAAAATAATAAAAGGTATATCGGCGCAACCCTGCGATGACTTGCTGCTCACCGCCACCACTGACAGAAAAGCCTCCACTAGAGAGTGTTCTAGAAAGCCCTGGTATAATTTCATACTTCCCTCTGAAGATATACTTGTGGGTGAAGGCCTCCCCCATTCCTTTGGAGATGTTTTTTTGTTGTCCTTTCCCCACACATCCGATTGGCATGGTTGGCTACGTATGGTGCGCGAAAGAAGTTCAACATACATTAATGTTTGACTAAACATAACAAATGCTGGACAGTATGGGTTGATGAAGAAATGGAGTAGGTGCCTTTGTCTCCCCATTGCTGATGTTTGCACACCATACCAGGTACTCATGTAAGGCTGAACTGACCTAGGAGATGCCCAGAACTGGTTCAGATATCACACTCCACTGATGTTAGCCATGGCCAGGAATTTAAGTTCGGTTACCATGTCCCATAATGCAGTGCACTAATTACTCTGCCAACATTCCTCCCCCAGGAGAATAGCTACTTCTCATTTATTAACCATGACTAATGTAGTAAACATCTCCATATTAAATAGGCACATTGTAATGAGAATGTACCATTACTCTGATATAATGGCTCATTATGTTTGGTTAAAATATCTGAAAATTATTTGAACCAAGACCTAAAGTCAGACGTAAGGATACTTTATGAGCAGCGGCTGATTGCATAAACAATTTAAGCGTACATTTTTCTTAAGTTTATCATTCACAGCTGTATAAGTTGAGAAAAAAATGTTCAGGTGTGTAATGCAACTGGCCACAATTCTTGAAGGTAATGCGTCAATTGAGATGTTTTATTGCATTGTGGGTGCAATATAAATGCAAGCATTATTTATAAATTATTATTGGTATCCATTAACAATAACTTTAGGATCTGGCAGACAGAACAAGCATTGGCTGTGTTGACCTCTCAAATTTGACCTTTGGCCTCCAAAGTTCGACAATAAACCAAAAAATGTTAACGTATCATAAATGTTCGCAAACTTTATTCTTATAATGGCAAACTAGAAAAAAAAAACATGTTTCACACAATTGAAAGGGAATTTCTATTAGGATTATAATACATATTGCAATCTACATTTATAAAAGTGTCAATAATTCCCATAATCTTTTCACCAATATGTGTCTATGATTATACACTTACAGCTACATTGTAATATTTATACAAGTTAGTACACATTTATATTCAATATGAAATGCTACACATCTGCACACAGGCATCATAATGATTATATATCAGTACCCAATAGCATGATATTGAGAGATGTTAACACATAGATGAATTTAATTATATGCACCGTGCCTCTGGCCTCAACAAGTCACAGATTAGCCTGTTAATATACATTGTCTCTTGTCTCCAGATAGTTGAAAGCTGTGGTGAGTGAAAATAATGCAGATGTAAACGTTCCCTTCGGGGTTTTTTTCGTTAAATACACATTCAAGTAATTTACTTGCACGGTGTTGCTGTGGTGTAACGGTTAGCACACCGGACATGCAATCCGGATGCCTCCGGTTTGATCTCCCGGCGCAGCAGGTTTATGAAATCTCCCACCCAGCAGTAAAGCCGAGGATCGACACAACTGGTCAATCAGCAGCGTGGTGGGGTAAAGTGTGGGCACTTCCACCTCTTCAAAGACATCCGGTCATTGTGGAAGAGTTGGCCAAAACACCCGTTAAGGGCTCTCTGCGGTGGAGACCCTTCCACGAGCAGTGTCGCGATTACACAATTGCAGACCGCACCGTTGTACCTTTTACTTTACGTATGTATAGTATTATAGGTGTGGAGGACTCGCACACACACACCCGCACTCGTTGCGGGGCACGCCCGTGTAAACTGAGTGCATCGCGACACGACGTCGCACGGCGGCCGTACGCCCACGTGGGCCCTCCTCCTTGCTGCACGCAGCCGCGGGCGGGCGAGCGACCTACATCGCGAGGAAAAGAAACAGCAGCAGTCCCACCACCCAGCAGTTGTGCAGGGCCACGTGGCAGGCGCTCATTCTCTTTCGACCCATGGGCAGCTCGCAGTGAGCCCCCTCCCACCCCGCGTAGCACTGGCACCGGAACGCCTCCTTCATGTCGCGCACGTCGCTGCGGTGCAATTGGCCGACCACCCGGTCCTGCCATCTCCCGCGGCGGCGGTCGGCGGAGGCCCCCGGGGCAACGATCCGAAAGCTCGCGGGGTTCAGGTGGAGGTGGGCCGTGGAGGCCGGGTGCTTCCGCACGCAGCGCCCGTGAGCCTCGCACAGGGCCTCGCTGCACAGCTTGGCGGCGGCAGTCACGTTGATGAGGTACGGCCCCAGGATGTCGTCCACGTAGGCCTTCACCGCCCGGCAGTTGTCCTGGAGGGATACGCACGCCACGGCGTTACTAAGTGAGCGCCGGTGGTTTGCCGTAGTGTTGGATACAAAGCGGGTGGGGGGAGATGGGGGGGGTGGGGGTGGTTGGGGGGGCTTTACACCTGACACCACCCCCCAACAACCCCACTGGAGATCCCACAAAATGTAATATTGATCTTTAAAAGAAGACGAAATGTGATGTGGGCACTTTGTGAAAATTACACATTGCATTATTTCAGTGATACGTTGGTAAGTTTGCCTTTGTTGCATGTTACTGTTCTATGCAATAAATGGAACCACAATGTGAATATTACTGTTTGTATGAATGTGCGTATGTTGAATTTATTTCGCACCGCACGTAGCCAACCGTGCTAATCCGAGGTTCGGGGGAAGGAAATATTTCGTAGGAACGTAGAGCCCTATTTAAAAGGTTTGCAGTTTTGGGACCTGCCCCTCCTCCCTCGGGGAGTTTCCCAATCCGCCTCTGGTCAGCTGACACAAGCACGAATCTGTTACAGCAACATACCACCGACTGAATAAGGGGTGAAGAGAAAAAAAAATTGACAATATAGGACTTTACTCATTGATGATCTTTGACGGATTCGTGCGTTGGAGGAGAGCACTCTCCTACTGATTTTCTCTCGAGAGGAAACACGGCAACAAAAGAGAACAAGCCGTCCTCGCAAAACAACGATCGACGTGGCCACGTTCAACTTTACCGTTGACAGAAACTGTGAAAACAGATGAGGCCACTTGTCTTACTTAACCTGCCGCACACACGCACACACACACGCACACACACACGCACACACACACGCACACACACACACACACACGCAAAGGCGCTGCTCCTTTTGATGTTTGGTCAAATGTCGTTTCATGTTTTTACTCAGATTTACATTTGTAAAAATCAATTGGAGGAGATGGATTTTTATGTTTTGCCACCAAGGAGGGTGACCGCGCTTAAACTATCACACCGGCTGCACGTGACGATGTTTATCGAGAAGCAATGCAGGGTTTGAGGCCATGGATTTCCTTAGACGTAGCTCAGCAAAGCAACACAGGACCTGAACCAGCAATCGCTCTGGTACCGACACGGCAGTCTGACTTTGACACGGCAGCAATCAGAGTTATCCATTGACTGCTGTAATTCTTCATTCAAAAGAACCACAGGACTTGAACCAACCATCCCTCTGGTACTGACTCGGCAATCTGACTTTGACACTGCAGATATATCTTAGTTATCCATTCCAGGCTGTAATTCTTCATTCAGATCAGGGTAGAATGCCCGGGGGTTAAAAACCAGACTGCCGTACGCAGTTTCACTTCACTGTAGGCATTTTTAGTTTGTGAAGTTACAAACATTGTCTGGTTTTAGCTAAACTTCCTTTTGGCTAATATACTGCATGTGCCATATTCTACAGTGCTTGACATTGCACTAACTCAAGGTGCCAAAGCTGCCAAGTGAGACTTCAAAAGATGTCACAAGCAGCAAGGTTGACTTTTAAGCATATTTACGACTAAAATTGGCGACTGCCCTCCACGCTGATGAATGTCAAAGTCAGCAAAAAGTTTCCTGGCATCGCAATCTCGAGATCGCGGGCGATGTGGAGGCATAATGCAATTCACCGCTTTGTTAAGATTATCTTTGGTAAAGCCAAAATGGACAAGGAGGCGACTGCCACAAAAATAATGCGATACATGATACATTTTATATTATAATGCAATTTATAATGCATGCAATGTTGCGGACCTAAGACGCATTTGAGGCGTGGAGCCGAGCTCAAGCAATGCATAACGTGATAACAATTGACTCGCAATCAAAAAGGTCACGAGTTCAAATCCATTTCCATTGTAATTTCAAGCCGTCATTGATCTGGTGTCAAAGTTTTTTTTCTTTTTAGATAGATTAGCTCCGGCCGTATGAATGTGGGACATTCGCTTCGGGTTCAAAGATACCAATTGTGGGGTGTGCCGCCTCATTGTTCAAAGCTACGTGACACGTTTGGCTGCTATATTGGTGTGGGGACATGGTCGTGCGGTTGCACTTTCGCTGTTTGCTGCAGAGGTTCATGTTGTAATTAGGCAGTATATAAACAATACAAATAAAAACACCTTAAAAAAATACATGCGAATGTGAGCGTGCCATCAAATTCGTAGAGAACAATAAAGATGCCCCGATGTAATTCGCAAAGAAAGCGGCCGCTGTGTGTGCTGGCATCATGCTCCGAATTTGACACATTTTAAAACACCACTCACAAACTACTCTAATCATGTTGCCCGACTCCCCTGAAAAGAGTCTTGAGACTCCGTGAGGCTTACCTGGGCAAGCACGAGTAATAATAATTATTTTTAAAAATGTTTATCATGTACTGAATCAGTAAGTCGCAATTATCCCAGAACGTTGTCCACTAGGTTATTCTATCTTCATCTTTAAATGGCACCCAGGATTTGCAAGAAACTTGTTGTGATATAACGTGCAGCAGTTTTAATCGTGACTTCATACACCCGTCTAAATTGTGTGGTTAGCTAATGTGGACTTGAGCAGCGTCACCTTTAATACAACCCCATTGCATGCCATTTGCCTCCATTGCTGTATTAGATAATAGCAAGGCAGTGATATTGTCCATGCGAATTTGTGCAGATGTCTTATGTTACCCTCTCATTGGATGGAAATTGATAATTATGGTGATGTTTTATTCGACAACAAGTAATATTGCTGTGTAAACCCATTTGAAAAAAAGTGAATGGGTATTTGGTTCAGATCATGTACTGTGTATTGCCTTTCCAATGAAACCAATTATATGCAACGGTTCCCACCCATTTGTCTGTGGATTAAGGAAGTCTAGAAAACTACAGGCAATGTATTATAGCTGCGTCTGCTCGCTTGCTATACAAAGCACACAGTGAGATAGCGCTGCATTGATTGCACCACAGTGTCCTCTCGTAACTTTTGCATCGCGAAGTATCTAGTAACTCCGAAAAAACAAATCGCGTTACGGATGCTTGAGCAATGCCAAAGCCTTTCAATTCACCAGGTCACGCTGAGCTACTAGCCACCTCGTCCGCTCGCGTCTCATTTGTCAGCAATGCCTACGTAGATCACGCGACGCAGATTGAAGATATCTCTTGATTGCCGGCCGTAAAAATTGCACCAGTGAAACGCGCATTCGCAAATTGGATGTGAAGCGCGTTTTGTGGCGAGCGCTGAGCTCGCAGAAGCTGTGCTCGCCGAGATCGCTCGTACGTCACTCGACTTTTATGCACGAACGCCCCACTTAAAGTTGAATTGCAGCACAATTTGTAAAACGGGAAAATTCCGCAGTGGTAGAAACACATGTACAGTTGCCCGGCCATCTCTGCCATGCATCTCCACGCTTGGTTACAACCTTGTTATCCATTATATATATGCAAACTGTGCGTATATATGTAGCATGTATGGTGAGTGGTGTTTATTATACGATCCATTTTCCTCTGTTTTACTGGGTAATAGCTAAATAAGATCATAATTATATTTTATAATGGACACGCACAAAAAGGATGATTTATAGAAGACATGCGAAGGATTATAAATTGTAAATGTTTGCATATATACAGTGTGGTATAACATGCAACCATGATTCCATTGGAATAAGATAATATTGCTAAAAAATATATAGATTTTTTTGGGAGGATCATGACTGGAAAACATGCACACCTAGGGTAATTATTGATGGCAGACTGGGATCAAAATATGCGAGAGAGAGAGATGATGATGCAAGACAGAGTAGGCAGGAGTGCTTTTGATAAACTGAACTTGATCATGTAAATCAACAAACCAATGAGACTGAAGAAGAATGTTTAATTCAGTGGGTATCACCGGCTCTGAAATAAGGATAGAAAACATGGACACTGGCAAATAAACTGTAACACAGAGCTGAAAAGTGTGCAAAGAAGCAGGAACGGGTGCATCATTGGAATGAGACGCAGAGAGAGGAGTAGATGGACTGGAGAGCCAATGCCAATTCGAGACATTATATTGACTCGTAAGGAAAGTAATTGGGCTTGGGGCAGGCCATGTCCGCTATAAGGGATCGATGACAGCTGATAGACAAGACAGTGGAAGCAAAACAACTAAAAACTCGTTTTTATTTTACCAAGTAAGGCCCACTGAGCTATATAGCTTTTTTTCAGAAGCAACCTGGCCACAAATGATAGCTCAACAAAGTCCCTTATCACGTGGAGATGAATTGCAGCCAAATACTCTAAAGGCGCGTTTATAAATGCGGAGGAAAAAAAAAACGGAGCACCATTAGAACAATCCGCACAACCACAGGGAGAGGAGACGCACAAACTCCAAATATACAGGCGTCGGGGGTCCGGATCGAACCCACGACCTCATGCATACCAGGTGAGGTAGGTGACATCTCGCCACCGAAATAGTCGGACACCCGAGAGGGCAACCACTGTGGAGACGGAGCGATGAAATTATCTCGTGAGCGGGAGTGAGATGGATCGTTGTAGCGCTGGACCATGAAGTGTGGCAACTGTGGGCAGGACTTTATTTCATAACGAGCAGAGCACAGCTGCCGCTCTTCTCTATGTACGTACGTTGAACTTCTTTTTATTTGGTTCTTTCGGTAAAGTCACGTAGAATGAGAATAAAATAATAAATTGATAAAATAAAATAACACAATAATATTCTCACGATGTTTCGGCCACAACACAAGCGGCCTTCATCAGGTGAAGGGACGAGACTGTCTGGTAGGACAGCGCTGTCCTACCAGACAGTCTCGTCCCTTCACAGCGCTGTCCTACCAGACAGTCTCGTCCCTTCACCTGATGAAGGCCGCTTGTGTTGTGGCCGAAACGTCGTTAGAATATTATTGTGTTATTTTATTTTATCAATTTATTATTTTATTCTCATTCTACGTGACTTTACCGAAAGAACCAAAGAAGAAGATGAATACTTGCAGTCACGAAAGCTTTAAATCGAAATTGAACTTCTTTCTTTATGTACGTAC